TTAATTTTTTTTTTTTTCGCGTATTAGCCAGGGTTGTAATTTTGCAGCCCGATCTTGGATCCAATCTTGGATCCGTCCCTTGACACATAGGTAAGCAAGATTTATCAACATACACTAATTATACCACAAAATTTAAGGAGATAAATAAATAAATTACTAATTGTAAGAAGTGAACTATGCTCGTAATAAATCTAATTAAGATACAACTGATTTTTGCATTGATGCTCATAGTCATGGATATGTTTATTAATATGGATAATTGTAGCAAAAGCCCCGAACCTTTAAAATACCGACATACTTTTTCCAAACATTTGATTTGTTGCAACCGTCACTCCTAATATTTTGAAACGTTGCAGGTGAGATCTTTTTGGACGGTTTCCATCCAAAATATCACCAATTAACCCAAAAAATTGGTTTTGACCACATTTTAATCAATTTAAAAAAAATAAAATGGTAACTATCTATTAATCACATTAAATGATAAACAAAAAAAATAATAAAAAAAAAGGAGAAGTCAACCCCACCCCAAACGAAACCCCAAACCAAAACTACTTGTTCTCTTCTCTTACCTCCAAGCATTACACTTTGGGCAGCAAGAGGCGGCATCAAAATTGTTCCCAAAAAGCTATTCAAGTCCAAGAAATCACGCTCCATTTCCAAATTCGAGACTGACCCGTCTTCCTTCAGCTCCCAAACCACGTCGTCTTCCTCCGATGAATCACAATCTGGCATCAAGAAGCCGATCGAAGGATTACAAACGCCCACCAGCGTTCTGCCTTGTTTCATCTCCGACGAGTAGTCCAAATTCTCTGCCGACTAACACTTTGAACTAAAACAAGCCTTTGAAATGATAGACAGGGAAGGGTCTGGAAAAGTGAAGAAAGAGAAGCTGAAAACTTTGTTGAGTTGCATTGGTGCCGAGCCGCCGAGCCAAGAGGAGCTGACTATGATGTTAAACGAAGTGGACAGAGACGCTCGAAGGATGTATCAGCTTGGTAGAGTTCTACGTGATCGGCTCAACTTTTGGGCCGCATGCTTGGGAAGCCAAGCTGAGAGAGACGTTTGACTTCTTTGACTTTGATTGTGATCGGAAGATAGCAGCGGAGAAATTGCTTAACGTTTTCAAAACTATTAGGGACTCACAATGCATGTTAGAGGACTGTCGGCGCATGATAAGAGGTGCAGATAAGATTCGAGATCGATTTTGGTTTGAGGTTTCATTTGGTGTGGGGTTGACTTTTATTTATTTTCTATTTTCTATTTAATTATTTAATGTGATTAATAGATAATTACCATTTTGTCCTTTTAAAATTGATTAAAATGTGGTCAAAATCAATTTTTTGGGTCAACTGACGGTATTTTAGATGCAAACCGTCCAAAAGGGTTTCACCTGTAACGTTTCAAAAGGTTAGGGATGACGACTGCAATAAATCAAAGATTTGAAAAAGTCTGTCAGTGTTTTAAAGGTTTGGGCTTTTGCTGCAATTATCCCTTATTAATATACAACACTTAAAAAAAAAAAAAAAACCAATA